CCTCCTCGCCGCGACCGCCGGCACGCCAAGTAATTCAACATCAATGTGGAGCAGCTCGCGGGTTTGACTGGAATAGGCGCGGGAAATAAAAGGCCTGTGCCTGCGAAGGCTGCACGACAAAATTAATTAACGTCGTCGCCGCCGACGCCGCGTTATTCTTCCTGCTTCCTTCCCCCTGCTCCGACCTCTCTCTCTGTCTCTCTCTCTTTCTCTCTCTCTCTCTCTCTCTCTCTCTCTCTCTCTCTCTCTCTCTGTCTCTCTCTGCGTTGTAACGAATTAATCCCGGTGCGATCAAAGGCACAGACTCCCGGGCGTCTCCCTCGCGCTGATTCCCGCCGTTTACACTTTGTAGAAATCGCAGGAATTGCCTAGCGAAGGCGGAACCCGGGACTGGAGGGTGAAACCTGAGATTCCATAGGAAGAAATTGTACAGCTTCATTTCGCTGCGCGCAGTTGAGTTTGTTTCCGACGCGCGCGCGCATTCTGCCGCGGAAGCCCGCGATGCGGAACGCGCGATTGAAGTTTCTTCATTAAATATACAAGATGGATCGAGCAATCGGCGCGTTGCGCCGCGAGACTCGCGGCGGCAAGTATACTCCCGCTGATTGCAAGCGGGTGCACAGGTGCGAGCTATGCCTCGATTTGTGCGAACAGACTTTGTCGCGCATCGACGCAAAGATCGGCAGTCAATATGATTCCCAACAAGAAAGATTGAGAGAGAGGGAGAAAGGGAGAGAGGAACAGTATTAAGGGTACCGGAAAGTCTTTTCGTTTTTATTACAAAAGTTTTAAAAGCATGAAAATAATAAAATAAGTTCGATCTTAATGAAAGTTGATATATACAATAAGGAATTGTTAACTAACCTGGAATTTAAATTAATTCTGGATTAAACCTGGATTAAAACTAAGAACCCGTACTATAACCACGAAAATTGAAGGTTTTAAAATACGAAAAGACTTTTCGGTAGCCCTAGTATTATTTATTATGCGTTTCAGGACGTGCGTGTCTCCTCAAGCATCCAAAAATTAATTAATATAAAATACAAAATTGATATCTTGAGTAGACGGCAAGAATGAATGGCGACATAATCAGAAAGAGAGAGAGAGAGAGAGAGAGAGAGAAGGAGAGAGGGAGGGAGAGAGTGAGATCTTCCGTGTTCGCGCGGTGTTACTGGCAGGAAGAGGAAACTCATTCGTCCTGGCGGCGGTGTCGCAGCTGCCCGTTGCCGCGTGCATTCTGCTATTGTAATAATTATCTTTGGAAGGCCATTTCTCGTCTCTGTCGATATCAATGCAGCCCGATAACTGCGGCCTGGCTAAGTCACTCGCACACACCCGCATCGAAGGTACCGGCGACATTGATTGCAACTAGGTTGCGACAGTCCTGAAATATCGTTTGTAATTAAATGTTGTGTTATCCCCGGGTGCGAGAGGGGGACACACGACTTGGCAGCTACGACGCGCCCCGCTTTCTCGCCTCGATATTGTCGACAACGCTTTTAATTACGGATGTATATCAGTGCGTTGTCCCGCGTTCGATCGCTCGCGCTCTGCAGTGTACGTCTTCTTTTCGGCTTCGAGTACCCATCTTCTTTCGTCTTTCGTCACTCCTTATCGCCAAGTAGTGTGCGTTCATTGATTATTCTTCATTAGATATGTAGGCCACGGCGAAATTGCGTCTGTCGATACTTGTTACGCTTCTCTCTCTGTCTCTCTCTCTCTCTCTCGCTCCGCGCGCTGTTCCATTTAAAGACGCTCAATACGAGACGTTTACATATGCCCGGGGATTCGACGGCTCGTTCTCGCGAATCCGACCGGCAAACGCGACGTTTATCACCCGCGACGCGTATACGCGGGGAAGTACATTCTTTCGCGAAATCACCTGCGCAAACCGCGATAAGGTGCGCGTGACGCCGCCGTTCGCCAGCGGGATTGTCTTGATATCGACGAACGTTTCGTCAGGAATTGCTAAAGGATGACGATGGTAATAATAATAACAATAATAACAACGCGGACTTACGTTGAAATAACAACTTCGTTAGATTAATCTGTGTTGAAACGTTCGCGAAGAAGAACATACACACACACACACACAGAGAGAGAGAGAGAGAGAGAGGGAGAGATGTCGGCTTTATACACTCATTCTTGCTCGACATCATCCGTGATTTTTCGAAAAAGAGATCACATCGAGCGTCACAACCTCTAAACGTCTGAACGGTGCACCGCGACATCGCGAGCGGGACGTGCTGCGTTAAATCGGAATTTACGGGGACGAGACCGTTTCCCGACCGAATCCAATTCTCTTAAGAAGCGCGCCGCGCGATAGGAGGAGAGAGAGAGAGAGAGAGAGAGAGAGAGAGAGAGAGAAAAAGAAAGAGACACAAAGGAAGCTTTCTAATTTTCTTCTAAGACACAGCCCGACACGCACCGGTGTGTCGTCTCTTACGGCTCCGTGGCTCGAGCGAGCGCCCTCGGACACACACACATACACACACACACACACACACACACACGTCCGAAGCCGGCGCGGAGGAAGAAGTTTCGCAGCGCTTGGTCCCCAGGTTTCAGCATCCGCGGGGATGAGTAATGGCAGGTCTGCGTACTGTAGCGAGCAGTTTGTCGTCGAAACTAACCAAGGTCCCCGGTAGCTCATTTCGCAGCATGGCACGTAATTCAATTTCCATGTAGCGATTCCCATGCCCGGCCTCGACGCGCGCTCTCGCGCGAGTCCTCCCTGTCCCTCTTGGTCGGAACGAGAAGTGAAATCGTCACCTCGGCCGTCACTCAGACGACGGCGCGAACGCGTTCTCGAAATATCAGCGCGCGCGACGCGAATGTCGAGCGCGAAATGCACGACCGACATGTATTGTACATATGGCGTACGGAACGACGAAAGCCGTGTTCCTCGTGTCGTGTCGTGGAGTCGAATTAATGAGGCAAAAGAATGTCGTTCACGGCATCGGTCGATCCAACGCGACGCCGACGGCTTCAATCGTGCGCCTGCATTTTTTTATCCGCCCCTAGCAGCTTTGTTCGTTGATCCCTGTATACTTTTAGCTTCGTATAACGCATCGATCCTCGCGCACCCGCGCGCGACATTTAATGGACCGATGCACGACACGGTGGACTAAATTCGATTTGAAGCGGAGGCCTCTCCAGCGACTAGCGGCTAGCGATGATGCTCGGCGCAAAAGTCTAGCGGAAAGGCACTAAAATCGAGTATTTCGCCGAAAGTGGGTTAGGAGAGCAACGATGGAAAGATAATAAACGCGAAGGCGCCGACGGTCGGTCCTTTTAATCTCGAGAGGGTAAGAGAGCTTTTTCTCACTCTCTCACACCCTCTCCCTGTCTCGAGGACGAAATCCGACGAGGATACCGGGAGAAGGCGCGGCATCGTTCATTTCGACGATATAAAATGGGATGGGATCGCGCGATCCGAACGGAAGCCGCCTCGACGGTTTCGTTGTCTCAGAAGTAGCTTCCTAAATGTGCCGGGAATAAGATTTTCTCCGGGAGAATAGAAGAAAGGAGCGAGCCGCCATTCTCCTCTTCCTCGGCCTCGGCAAAAGTCGAATAAAAAGGTTCACTTCGCCTTCTCGGTCTTTCCTCTCTCCTTCCCTTTCTCTCTCTCTCTCTCTCTCTCTCTCTCTCTCTCTCTCTCTCTCTCTCTCTCTCTCTCTCTCTCTCTCTCTCTCTCTCCCCCTCTCTCTCTCTCCTTCTCTCCTTCTTTCCCCCTTTCTCAAGAAATAGAGGTAAAGCGACCTCCGCAGCGAGGCAGATCTCTCAGGCAGATTCGACAGATCAATGATTTATTCCGAAAAGTTCAAATTGGATCGCGGTATTAAGGATTCCTCGCGCGGAGTGCTCCGAGTTGAATGTGCATGCGAAGTGCGCCGGGAGGGGAGGGGGGACATACTTTCAGCGCTCTCAGGTGCAGCGATTGTGTCATCGGTCGCGCCTCGAGTTGTTGGGACCCTCGACGACTTCCACCGGCTCCCTTAATTGCTTTCTTTTCTTTCCAACGCGCGGCGATCTCGTTGATGTAGCTAATTACGGCGGCCGGGGAAAGCCGGCCGTCGGAATTTCGCATAATCCAATTTATCATCAATCGAGTTTCGCGCGCGTACACACACGAGAGAGAAAGAGAGAGAGAGAGAGAGAGAGAGGGGGAGGGAGGGGAAGGGGGAGAGAGAGAGGACCGTTAACTTTAGGCCTGGGCACTTTTTCCCGTCGAGTACATGCCGTGCTGGTGTAATCGCGTTTGTCACGCGAGAAGCGGGGCTGAGCGGGCCGCTATTGCGAATAAACGTTACGAAGTGATTCCAATTAAGGGCCATTATGGGCTCGTTAATAATAGCGCGTGGCGCACGAGGTCGATAACGTTGTTTGACGGAGCGTAGGGCGCGCCGGCTGTAACGGATTGCGAGAGAGAGAGAGAGAGAGAGAGAGAGAGAGAGAGAGAGAGAGAGAGAGAGAGAGAGACCGGCGCGAATCTCGGCGTGACTAAGTCCCGGTGATTTATGTTATTTATGCCTGTCGCTGAATGGCGGCGTTAAAGCGCCGTCGAGGCCAACGCCGTGCGTTGCCGTGCGTCTGGGCCGCGATTCGAAGAGGGAAACCGGTAAACACACAGAAACGGGGTGAAATTTATTGTACTTTGAAATCGCTCTCTCTCTCCCTCCCCCCTCTCTCTCTCTCTCTCTCTCTCTCTCTCTCTCGCTCTCTTCGCCGCGCTCGAGAGAAAGTAATAATCGCTCATGGATTCTCCTTGTTGCTCCCTCTCTCCCTCCTTCTCTTTTCTCTATCTTGCGCGACCTTGGTTGGGCACAAAAAGCGACCGTTTATCTCCCCCAAACCGCCTTTTAGCGGCGCGGAATCTTTCCGGTTCTGCGTCCGAAGCGTCTCGAAAGCGGCACTCCGTTCTTCGCGAAATCGTCGATTATCGCGAAAGCTCGTGAAAACACGCGTACGCGTGTGCGCTGTGCGCTTCTGCTTTCCAGGATGCCTAACGAGAACGCGCCGGTGTGTGCCTGCGGCGTGGTGGTCGATCTGTCCAGCAAGTCGCGAAACAGCTCGATCGTCCCGCGAAAGCTGACGATCCTCGTGCCGAAGTCGAAGGGTGGCAAGAGCTCGGACGGCAAGGCTGCGCGAAAGCAACAGGATGAAGCGCGAGCGCCGAAGAGCCGCACTTCGAGCGAGACCGGCAGCAGCAGTTCGGTGATGGAACCCAGGAGACCTGCGATAAAGAACAGCAAACACGAGAAGCGGCTCAATCAGTCGCGGAGGACCCGGAGCGCCGACAGGGCCGAGTCGCATTACACTTATATCGGTTAGTTGGCCGCCGCATATTGCTCTCTCTCTCTCTCTCTCTCTCTCTCTCTCTCTCTCTCTCTCTCTCTCTCTCTCTCTCTCTCTCTCTCTCTCTCTCTCTCTCTCTCTCTCTCCCTCTCTCTCTCTCTCTCTCCCTCTCTCTCTCTCTCTCTCGCGGATCGTATTTTTCTTGACTGACTGGAATGATCGATCGCGTCCGCTTGGTCGAGTCCGACTGTGTTCGCGATGAAGCGGCGGACGACTGTCGAAAGTGAAATTCGATGATTGAGAATCTCAGAGGTGACTGTTCAGAGGCGGACGAGTCGACTGACTTCTCACCGCGGCGAAACTCAACGATCGGGAATCGCGCCAAGTGAGCCGAAAGATCGTTGAGGTACGTCGAGATTAATCGATCGGATCGATCAGAGGCGATCAATTGGCGTTGTAATTGAATCGAGCAATTGTTTGTAAAATGAAATTCAACTGCGCGGATTGCGGATTGTGTGAAACAATAATCGTTACGAGTGCAGTCGTTTCGTCCGCAGAAACGCCGCAGCGGGTCGTTCCATCATCGCGGGACGATTTAACATTTTGTCATTATAACCGCGTTATTATATTATATTATATATTAACAGCGCGCGCTCACGCTCCGACGCAAATCCCGCCGGAGCGAGCAAAATGGACACGCGCTGACACACGTTGCCTGCTCAATTGCGAACGGACATTGTCGCGTTTGCAGATTCGGGCTCGAGCATCCTCGGCGACGGGATCCGGGAGAGCACCATACCCGAGGTGCTGTACGCCACCATACCGGACACCATACCGAGCGTCAATGAGCCCGGGACTGGCCAGTTGAACTCGCAGTGCAGATCGCAGCAGCTTTACGCCATTCCGTCGATGACGTCGCCGCCGCCGACGTACGACGTCGCGATCGCGAAAACGCGGCAGGTAAGGCTCCCCGCACCTTGCGATTTACTCCCGGAGTAAAGTGCTCCCTCCCTCCGCTTGTGATCCATGCTGATTCGTAGCAACTGACGAACACGTCGGTAGCAATAGAGTGCTGCTCGCGTAACAGAAGAGGCTTGTCGTACAACACTGGCGAACATTCGTCAGTCCGCCGCGTCAGTCGACATTTCCGCTCGTCGGTTCGCATTGTGCGCACGTCGGTCGGTTCGTTCGATCGGCCTTCCGCAACGCTTTGATTACGGTATTAACCCGACTAGAAATTTATCGCATGGTCCTGATCAGGTTAACCTCATTTGGACCCATCATCAGGTCCCAATAAGGTAATACTATCGGTAATACTATTCTAGTAAGTATGGTATATGTAACGCAGCGTGGATATCAGGACCTTAGTAAGGATTCATAGTCAGGTCCTTATTAAGTTATCTTATGGAATCCTTATTACGTTTTTCTTTTTTTTTCAAATTATGGCTCCTGATTACTCGCCACGGCTATATTGGATGATGACATTAGAAATAAGAAATGACACGCTGCAAATTCTTTCATGTCATTTCTAAATAAAAAGATACTTGCATGAAATAATATTTTAGATCGCTTGAGCGAGCATACTTGTAAAATGTTTCGGAAAAGAAACATAAAATGAATATATCATAAGATCATAAAGTATCACAAGGTGACAAGACATAGAGTGGTGTTAAAGAGAAAAGTTGCATGTCACGTTAATTTTACAACTATTTATTGACTGCTAAAAAAAGGGATAATTTCTATAGCATTTTACAAATATATTCAAGTGATCTGAAGTGCTTTTTCAATGCAAACATCTTTATATTTGGAAATGACACCCAAAAATTGGTTTGTTAAAACCTGATAATGCAAATCATATTAGGTACAATGAATAAGATCCCGACAAGGACCTGATTAACTGAACCATGTTATATCATACACTAGGTTGGTACATTAAGGTCCTAATGTGGACCCAATCATTATAACCTTATAAAGGTCTTCCTTATTCATGTCGTGGCCTTCCCGCCTGATGCACTAAGGCCGGTTAGATTTCGGGTTCGTTCGTGGTCTTAGGGATTGGGATCCCGAGCTTCGCTGGTCCAGGCGAGATAGAAATAGTCGGTCGTACAAAAGAAGATGGCGTTTATTCGTTCCTCCTTACACTTGCGCTTACGTACCAGTGTAGAATAACGGACCCGGATTTATACGTTAACTATCGAGACGCTCAGTTCTCGCTTCAATCATCTATCTGTTCTTCTTCTTCGGCTCCAGTCTTATATATCCTGGTGCCTTTGGTATGACTGACACATTAACCTAATTTCGCGGTCTCAGTCAGCAGAGTTGCAAGTTTATGTATTACAAATACTTTATGGCGTCAGCACTTTAATCGAATTGTGTATTGCGCGCTTACTAACTGACTACTAACTAAGGTGGAATAATTAGGACGCGGTTACAACACTCATTCATGTCGTTAGGACATTGTAAGGACTGACTTACTTAGGATTACCTATCATTCACCCTATTAGGTCCTTATCAATGTTAGATGAACCTGATCAAAATTTCTTGTACGTCAATGGGCATCGTGGACTGCGCGCGCGCGCGCGCGCGCTCGCTCCGCTAAGCCGCGCGGACTCGATGCGCAATTGAGAATTTTATCGGCCGCTCTCCTCGTCGTAATCCAGCCGTGCGGCGCGCGAGCCACGTCACTTCGACGAAGATAATATCCGCTCGGTTATATCGTTTACATTGCAAAGTTGCGGAGCGTGCGCCCGGCCGGCCGGCGGACAGCAGTTTCCGACAGCGGTCAATATACCGTACAATGGCGACAATCGGCATTCAGCCGGCCGTAAGAGCATAACGCTCAGCAACCGCCGCAATAACAACGGGCCGGGCCGGACAATACTTGCAAATTGTCATCGCCGTGCGCGCGCTTTAAACGATGTAACTGGAATATTAATTCCCCGCGTGGTTATGTCCCGCGTGCGCCCCGCGGTCGCTCGAGGGTCGCAGAGAGCACTGGGGGAGGGGGCAGGGGGGAGGGAAGGAGAGGAGACTCTCCGCGAGCGGAGTTGTCCGATCGCCGAGTATCGCGCGGTGCCTCTCTCGAGTTATCGAAACGAACGCGATCGCGTCGGCACGCGTCGCTCTCGATTTGCATCCGCGCTGCGCAATTCGGCCGCCGACGATGACGAGCGGATGACGAGGAAATTGGCGGCGATCTAGCAATCAGCCCCAGAGGCGTCCGCCGATGATCGATAATCGAATCGGCAGGTAGTCCGGCTAGAGCACTGTGTAATCGATCGCGCGCGCGCGATCGCCTGCAATCGGCGCGATCGCAAATTGGTCTTTTGTAGGCCGCCGAATGCGCCGTTAGTCGCGTAGTAATTGCTAATTAGCCGGTGCTACAACCGATCGCAGGAGACCGGCGGGACCTCGGCGGATCCCACCGCGAGCGTGCAAACGGCGCGGCGATCTCGCGCTAACGAGAGCGTATCGCAGATACGGCCTGCTGATAACGTGGCACGAAGAGGGGCCTCTCGAGAGCGAGATAAAAAGAAACAAGGAGGAGACGATCCGCGGAAATCAATCGGGTGTCGCTCGCGCGGATTGCAAAATTCCGTCGAATTTCGCGTTGTCGCGAAAGATGACGCGACCGGGAGACTGAAAAATACGGTATTTCGGGCATTACCGGCGGCGCCAGGAGCGTCTCAGCTCTCGCAACGCGCGCCCACCGGCCTCGAGAGTTTAACGATCCCCATGCTCTCGCTCACGACGAATCCGGCCGGCAAAGTTGGGGAAAGCTCCTCATCGCGCTATTTTTAAAGACGACTTATCATTTTACGCAAATCCCCGCTACGGGCCGCCGCCGCGGTCGCTCGTATTTCACGTCGCGCGCTCGCGGCGTGTCTCCAGAGCATTAAATTATCCCGTGGAATTTATTATACGCGGCGTAACTGATAACAATAACAGCGAAGCCCAGGATCGGAATTTCCCAGATTACACGGAAATGTAGGAATGCACGCGCGCGCGCGCGCGCGCCGGTGGCATTTTCCTCGCTCATCGTTCACCGTCGTTTCTTCGACAAATTCTCCCCGCTCGTCGCCGTCACCGTAAGCTCTGCGGCTCTAAATTACCGCGATTCTAAAATCATCGAGCCGGAAATTCGCGCGACTTCCTGGGCGCCTGTCCTTCGCACTTCGGCACGTCCTGCGCGCGAGCCAGTGCTGCAGCTGAGCTGCTTCGCTCCGTGCGTCGTCGAAGAAGTCCCTCGTCTCAAAGAAGGTTCGATTTTCGGTCGGGCCGAGCTCTCTCTCTCTCTCTCTCTCTCTCTCTCTCTCTCTCTCACTCTCTTTCTCTTTCTCTCTCGATACGGTACGAGGTGGAAGCAGCAGAGGCCAGAGAGGGAAAGAGAAAGAGGGAGGCAAATTCAATGTACGGTTTCTTAGCTCGAGGACCATTCCAGTCCGGTTCGCCGCTCAATTCCATCGCGTATAGTCGCGCGGCGCCGACTGGAACATAAATTGATCCTCCTACCGTGCGGCCGCGTTGCCTCGGCGTCGTCATTCCCAGAGAACCAGCCGTCCATGCCGAAAACTCGAGCACATGCACGCGCGCGCGCGCGCGGTGGCATTTTCCTCGCTCATCGTTCACCGTCGTTTCTTCGACAAATTCTCGCCGCTCGTCGCCGTCACCGTAAGCTCCGCGGCTCTAAATTACCGCGACTCTAAAATCATCGAGCTGGAAATTCGCGCGACTTCCTGGGGACCTGTCCTTCGCACTTCGGCACGTCCTGCGCGCGAACCAGTGCTGCAGCTGAGCTGCTTCGCTCCGTGNACGTCGCCGAAGAAGCGCCTCGTCTCAAAGAAGGTTCGATTTTCGGTCGGGCTCGAGACTCCGAAAAACCTTGCCGTCGCTCGTCTTCCTGCGAGGGACTGCGGCGATGCTCTCTTCATCGACGCTGCGCCGAGACGGGAAGGGGATGAAGAGCGTTAATTGCGAGAGAGCGACTCGTACCGCGTACCTACGAAATGAGTCTCGAAAGGGTTCGAACACTTCTTTCGCAGATGCAATTCGGAGCGCAGCAGATGTCCGATCCGAGGGAAGTAGGTCTCCGAGAATTTTTCACAGACGAGCGCGCTCATTGGAGCGTCGGTCGCGTTCCGAATTGCGGAAAAAAGCGTTCAAACGCTGCGGAATTGCCCCGGCGGCAATTTCGGCTCGCGGTACGAAAATGGCCGTGGTCACACAATCCTATCGAACCGTCATACGCTTGTCAGCCGCTTTCACATCGCGTGAAATGAAGCGGAAATAGCTGATATATTTGTTTATGATAAAGCCGGGATAGAGGTGAAAGCCAGCGGCATCGCTGGCCGCTGTATTTTTTGGCGCCGTGACGCTTATCGGCGTTATCTCCGCTATAGAAACAAATATGTTATTACGCGTTCCGCTGAAACGATGCATGCGCGATAATAATCGATACGAGGTGCCGGGAAAGATCGATGGTCATCGAACACGTGCGGGTCATTAAAGGAGAGACGCTCGAGGTCGAGGGATAATCGCGGTGATAAATTCTTAACCGACTTCTTGTGTGTCGCGATAACGAGAAAGCTCCGTTTGCACTCGGCTGCTCCGAAATGAAAAGGGACGTCAAAGGAGATGGCGAAAAAGGGTTGAAATTGTTCCCGGCTGAAACGTCGAGGAGACGAGCTCGACGTCGCTCGCTGCTCCGCCCGAGCGAGCGAAGACTCGCTCGCTCGCTCGCTCGCTCGGGCGAGCACTCGTGTGAAATGTAAAACCGCGTGCTGGTGGAAGTTCACCGCGACGAACGGACGCAGGGAAGCTGTTGCGCGCGACTAAATTGTACGACGTAGCATAAAGGAGGTCGTCCTTATTTTCTTTCGTCGGATTTTCCTCACCTGGATCGCGCGCGCACGACTCGTTCTTTCTCGGCGTTTCTCGCTTTTCTCGCGCGCGCGCGAGGCGAGATTGTCCGCGACGTTCGGTCCGCGACGATTTCCGGCCGAGTCCACGTCTGTCCGGTAGAAGCGAGCGAGCGAGCGAGAGAGAGAGAGAGAGAGAGAGGGAAAAAGGGAGGGAGAGAGAAAGAGCTGTTGGGGCATTTGCATCTCCGATATTTTCATTCGCAAGATCAAAGGCGCGGCATATCGTTCGAGAGACGAGATTAAAGCTCGAGACGGGTACAGGTCGCGAGCAAGCAAGTGCTTTCCATGCTTCCCCCCCCCGCCCGCCCCCGCCTCCCTGCCTTCCCCGCCCCGTTCCCCGGCGGATCCGACCGAAAGTCATTGATATGGGCGACTCTTCGAGCGCGACCAGCAAAGTTACGCTTCTCTCGTGTATCCCTCGTCCTTCCAGCCGCCCGCGCGGCTCCTCCCTCTCGTCTTTCTCTCGCCCTCTTCCTTTCGCCCCTCGAAGGAAGAAAAGGAAACGCCGCTGAGGTTTTCGCGCGCGACTCTCGAGAGCTCGCGAGCTTACTTCGCGTATCTTTTAGTGGTTGTTTCCATTCATGAGGCGCGAATACGCGCTCGCGTGCCGCATCCCCTAATTTGAATAACGTCCCCGTCTTTGCGATTTTCTCCGCAAGGACTACGCCGCGCACGGCACGGAGTATTTGTCGGGACATCACGACTTGTCTGGGACAGGCGCTAACATAGCGAATTCCATCGCCTGAGCGAGAGCAGGTTCTGCACGAAATGAACACGCGTGATGGCGCCAGGCCGCCGCGCTTAACGGCGAAGCCGCGCGGCGCGTGTTTTCCCCCGCGAGTTTCCTGCCGAGAATTCGACTTTGTCGCGAAACTCCGGCGTCTCTCGACGAATTCTCGAGGAAAACTCGGAGGATTCTCCGGGGAAGCGTCGATCCGACTGAAGAATTAATTAGCGATCGAAGGAATGACCGCGCCAACACGAGCGGCCGATTTTGTAGGAATCTCGCGGGCTCGACGACGCGTTTCGTCGAAATTTCGCAAAGTACTCGAAGACCTTCCTCGTCGACATTGGCGCAACGTGTATGTGTGAATGTGTGTGCGAGAAAGCGCGCGGTTAAATCGCCCTCATTGCGACGCGGCGTGTGTTTACATTAAAGAACACGGCGGTCTGGAATATTTAGGGGCGGAAGTAACGTGCAATACGTCGGACCGTGGTTTCACGAGAGGGAAAGGGACGGGGGGAGGAGAGAGAGAGGGAAAGAGAGAGAGAGAGAGAGCGCCGTGTAGTTAGGATCCGTAAGATACAACGCCGGCGAGATGCTCTCGCATATTAATCTCCCGCCGCGGCTGAGTTAGCGCAAATGATACGCGGGCCGACATGGCGCGCGATAAAGCAGCAGCGGGCCAGGCTGAATCGAGCCAAGACGGCAGGCAAAGGGAGGCCGAGAAAGACGAGCGAAGGTGGTTGATGTAAAAATAATGGAAAAATAAAAGCAGCCAAGTGTGGAGGTGGATTAAATTGGCGCAGCTGCGGACGGGGCGGGGGTGGGGAGAGCGGGCGAAAATTAGCGCGAGACGGCGAATTACGACGGAATAAAGGGATCCCCGTATGAAACGGGAGCGGGAGGAAAATTGCCGGCCGAGTAGCAGCGCGAGAGCTCGGTAACGTTTAAGCTTTTAACCTCGGAGCGAAGGCGCTCCTCCGCAGCTCTCCTTGTCGAATTAACGCGGTGATCGATCGGTGCTGGCTGGCTGCCTCTCGCGTATCGCAAGCCTGCGAGTGGCTGAGAGCGGCTGCGTTTTATGCACGCACTGCGAGTCGCCTGCGAACGACGTGTCGGGATTGCAGGTGTCGGAGGTGGAGTCGCGTTGTCCGCGGACAGCACTAGACAACTCGCTCGCCGGGGCTCTCTCTGGAGCACGCACGTACGATACCTTGGAGAAACACGTATCGCCGGCCGTATGATCGTCTCGCCGCGGACGGAAAAGTGCAAGCAAACGCCGGGGCTTCGTGCGATCCTCTTGAACGAACGCTCGAGGGCGACCGCGCTCGTCTCACGCTGGAAAATGGAATCGCAGGATAATCATTCTGAAACTCAATTCCAGCCTCTCCGCCGAGTCGAGGGCTGCCGCTGTTGGTTGGTCCCGCTTGACTTAGTCGCCGGCGAAGATCGCGGGAACCGAAGTGACGGTCGTTTTCTCGTCGTCGCTGCTTGGACTTGCTGACTCAGCAATAAGAGTGATCGCGAAGCTCTCGCTGCGGGCTATCGGAGGGTTTGATTCAGTGATCCGCAGTGGCGTGGATTTTCGACGAAGGAAACAAGTTGTCGGGCGTTTTACGAGACATCGCGCGCCCGCCGTGAAACTTCGCTTCGATCCGCGAGACGAGCAGCGTGCGCGACTGACGTGCCGACGCTCTCTCTTTCTCGCCCTCTCTCTCTCTCTCTCTCTCTCTCTCTCTCTCTCTCTCTCTCTCTCTCTCTCTCTCTCCCGTCGATGTTTCATTCATTTTCGAAAAGTACAAAATATTATACCCGCGGTGGAATATATATTTATGACCAAAGTTCCTTGCCAGACACGTTTGCATCGATAACGCGCTCACGGATATGAAGCTGCGCATCGTATATTACTATTTGCGAATGACGTCTACGTAACTAGACAACCGCGCTATTTCCTGCCATCGAAATTTCCAGCCATTAAATTTTCATCCCACTTGGAAAAGCGGAACCTCCGCGCGCGCGGCCGCCGCGCGTCTCCCCGTCGTTCAGACCGCCCGGCTGTCGCGCTTCGACTCGGCGGGATCGACAAAGTGTGTATGGAAGCACTTAATATACAAAGCCCGATGCGAGCGGAAAACTGCGAAAGTCGTATCCGAGTATGAAACTTCAGCAGCGCCAGTTAGCATTAAGTACGGGACCATTATGCGACAATTAGACGATTAAATGCGAAGCGACACACACACACACACCAACACGCGTCTCTCGCACGAGATATCGCAAAGGGAGAGAAAACGTGTGTTCGCAAACTGCGCCGCAAGCTTTTACGTTATAATACACGGCGACAGCCGAGTCGAAGCCTCGAGAGGAGCGAGATGGAGAGATGCAAGTTTTTTCCGCCGTGTTATACGACAAGCCGTGCGCTCTTTCCGGTCCGAGAGGAATATTAAAAAAACAGTTCGCCGCTTCATTATAATCCCCAGTGCGAGATAATGCACATTGCGCGCGGGTGTGAGGCCGATTTTGCGCGGTTAACTTCATTATTCGAGCTTGCGTTGCGGCGAATTAATGCGCCGTCGGAAACGAGTTTCCAAAGTTGGAATGTTTTGCAACAGCAGCGACAATAAATACGCCATTCGCTACACCGTGATTACACAATATTATTTTATCGCTCCGCGACGGAGGAAGGGGGAAGGGGGGGAGGCTCGTGGAATATTTGACGCGCCGATGTGCATTCTCCGTTCTATCCGCAAATGCGAATAGAGAACAAAGCACGAGAAGACGATACGAAGCGGCTAGGACGACGGCACCCCCCGAGACGCGGCCGGGGGAGGTGCTTACCTCGGGAGGAATCGCGAGCGACGGTACTTTTATTTCGCGATTTCGCGAGTTGTCTGCTATCTGAAACGCGACACCGTGACGCGCGAAGATCGAGTATCGAAGCCGCAGTCATGCAAACATAATGGCAGGCAACTACGGCCTGGACGAGCGGCGAAGCTGCGGCTAACGTAACGCGACCCTAATGCGACTCCCCCAACGCTGCCAACGAGAGAGAGAGAGAGAGAGAGAGAGAGAGAGAGAGAGAGAGAGAGAGAGAGATTTCTGAGAGGAGAGTTGCGTTCTGTTAATTAATCAAAGATTAATCTCGCGATCAACTTCGTCAAACAGGATGAACGCTATAGGCTATGTTGATATAGCCTAGTTTCGTTCGGGTGCTTCGCTGAAATTTACGGGAAAATTTGTCCGCCCCGGTCAGCAACCGGTCGTCTCTCTCCCTCTCCCCTTCTCGCGATCCCGGCACGGTAACATAATATTTATAAAGATGAGGTAATAGATCCGTCGAGAGCACAAATGCATTACACAGGTCGTACGTAGCTGCTCCTCGCGCGGTACTCATCTGCGATCTCGTTCATTATTTACTGAAAACGACGGCAGGGGCACAGCTATCGCTCGCTACCCGAATCTGCCGAGGTTCGCGGAGGAAATGGCTCGGTTGGAGGAAATTCAGGTAGCACGGGCCGCTTCTTTCCATTACTCCTGATAGAAAAAGTTTCGACGAGATCCCATCCCACGCTCCCGGAAACTGCCCATTTACACGTCATCTCATTACTTTATTATTCCAACGCGGTGGAAACGCTCATGGATGTACGTCGGTTATCTTACTAACGAACACTTAAACTTGAGGAAGGTTCTCGTAAACGGGCGAGGAAAAAGCTCACTTGGGCGCCGTCTTCGTCGCGCGAATGAACCCTCGGTATGGTCGGCGAAAGTCGGAACAACGAGGAACGACTGTGATGCTCGCTTTGCAGACTGGCCTGCCGCCGACGTACGACGAGTACCTCTGTCACAAGTCTCGCTCGCACACCCCGCCGCCGCCGTGGTCCGACTCGGTCTCGATCACGTCGCCCTCCTCGTTGTCATCGTCGTCGAACTCGGCCTCGAGTACACAGTTGCGTCGCGAGCTGTTGGCCGATCAACCGCAGCTCCGCGAGTACTTGGCGCAGCTGACGTTCGCCCAGCAGCAGCATCAGCAGCAACAGCAGCAGCAGGAGCAGCTGGTGCAGCTGCAACAATCCAGAGAGCTGTCTTCCTTGCCGTCGAATCAGCAGATCCTCAGGGAGCAGCAGGTCCGAGCGCGCGCACGAGCCATGCCTCCCAGGTGAGTAGTCGAAGAGACGCCGGTTGCAAGGTCCGACCTCGACGCTAACGGTAACTCGTGTGTGACCGGGAGATCGCTCGCGGAATAATTCAGGCTGCTTCTTGAGGCGACTATATGCGGCTACGGCACCGTCGGGAGTTAACGCGTACGCGGCTAGCTGCTGCATTCGGTTAGTCCGGAACATTCCGAGGTGCCGAGAGCCGCCCCTGGCGGCATCCTGGTAATTCAGAAGAATGACCGAGACGGCGGTTATGCAAATACAGACCGCGTTCAGCAAGTCCCGCGCGCTTCTCCGCCGATTATCATCCCGACCGAGTTCGGTCGCTCGGTCTCTCCGTCTCACGAGAGAGCGTTTGGTCGCGCGCGTATTGCAATATTCCGTCATGGAAAATAGGAGAGCGAGCGTGCGAGAGAGAGAGAGAGAGAGAGAGAGAGAGAGAGAGAGAGAGAGAGAGAGAGAGCGAAAGGCTAGTTGGATGGAATGATAACTCGGGGCCGACGAAACGTCGTTGTTGCAGATCGCAGAGCGTGAGTCGGGTGCAGCAGCAACGAATCGCGACGATGTACGAGGACGCGGCGTTCTGCATGGAAACGACGGTGCTGCAGTCGGCTTTCGATCAAGGATTCGCCCTGTGCAGCTTGATGTAAGAGGACGCGTGCTGCGACCACGTCGGGCGGGCTCGGGCGAGCCGCACGGCCACGCTGACGAATCGCCAACCGCGTTCTTCGACCTCTCTCTCTGTCGCGAAAACTTGCCTGCCACGCAGGCTGGCGGGCCAGGCTGCATCCGGACCGCCGCGACACGAGATGCGGCGCTTTTGGCTTTGGCAAACCGCAAGCGATCGATGTTGGCGACACGAGACGCTCTTTGTCTCTATCGAACGCCCTCGCGGAGTCGTGCATGTAATTCGCTGTCGAGTCTTCTAAAGCTAACGGTAGAGTCAAAATTGCGCCGGTCCCGGCGATCGAGATCAGCGTCAGCCCGAGCCGCGGAACTCTGCTTCCGCGTTAATCCGCCGAGTACTCCGGCGAAGTCGAAGAACCAACGGAAGCACTCGAGGTACAATATTGCGCGCGCAAGCTGTTATCATTTTGACGGTTAACCGCCGCTTTGCTCAAGCTTGAGGAGGAGCCATTTATTCAGCGATTATTTCATATCCCCTTATGCCCCTCGGTACTCTCTATTCGCGTCTTTATTCTTTATTCTTGACTTCAGTGTTAAGCAGCGTTATCAATCGCGTAATTTATTCAACCGCAGAGTGCGGCGATAAAGTAGATATTAATCGATCTCGTGAAAATCATAGGTAAGTGGACGGACGAAGCAAGTCCTCTTCTTTCTCTAATCTCTTTGTTGTTGCTTGCTGTTGATGTTAGAAATCTTCCGATGGGATTCAGAGATCTAAAATGGCTGGGAAAGGGAGTTGCGCAAGCCCCAACGCCGTCGCGATTGCTGCGTCGCGTATTCCGTTCTGTGGAGTTCTCCCTCCGATCTTTGTCGCGGCCAGACAGGTTCGTTTCGCTTTCGCAAAAAAAACCCCGCAGCGTTAACCGCGCGGCGAACAACGGCGATGGTACTTTCAGCAGTGTTGAATCACTTGTGTTATGCAACGTGTTTCCGAATTTTCAAACTCACCGAGGTTCCTCAAGTTCGACGGAATTTGCGGAACTAATGTGGAAGCGTAATCCCGATCGAGGACATTTCTACCTTCTCAGCAGAATTCTCAACGGGAACGCGAATCGGTCACCACATCAAGTTGCCGATCGCGAGAAACTCCGCGGTATTTGAAAAGTCGAACACGCGTGATTCCGACGTACGCGAGTACGACGTCGTTCGTACGAGCTTCGCTAATTGGGACTGTGTCGGACCGCAGATAACCTACGTAAGCAGAAAGAAGCCGGGAACGTCCCATCGCCTATCTGGAAAAATTAGGGCGCGTTCGTTAACTATCTTTATCCCACGCGCGAGCGAGCTGTATCCGTTCTAATTCCAATTGCCTTCGGTTCCCCTGGCTGGTCCGGGTCGCCAAGTTTCCCCATTTCCTCCACGCGCTGGTCGCCGAAATAACAGGTTTGGCCGTACGTGACACATTTGCCATCATGAGTTTCGTTTCTTCGCGAATGTAAAGCTCGCTCCTTGTCCAGCGACAAATGTCGCTCGTGTCGTAGTTTTTTTTTTTTATTTTTTTTTCAGGGGAGGCAAACCCCGAAGGGCCTGTCTCGCGTCGAACATCGCTGTGATTTGTTGAACAGTGGCGGCCGAGACCTCCGGCCAGCCGAAACTAATACCGACATTTTCCGTTGGACATTTCCAACGAGAGAGAAAGAGAGAGAGAGAGAGAGAGAGAGAGAGAGAGAGAGAGAGAGAGGGAGAGAGAGAGAGTAACGCGACGATGACGTACAATCTCGTTTGTTTCTCAAAGTTATATTGTAATTTGTAATTTTTGTCTGCGACCGCCAACTCAACTGCTCGCAATTTTATTATTAATTCATAGAGAAAGAGAGAGAGAGAGAGAGAGAGAGAGAGAGAGAGAGAGAGAGAGAGAGAGAGAGAGAGAGAGAGAGTGTGTGTGTATGTCTCGTGAAATGAAGTTATGAAGAGAAGATTAACAGGAGTTTATTTTCCATTGAATTGGTGGCGAATGTTGCCGCTCGCGAGATTTAATTTGAGACTTCACAATTACGATATTTAACGTCGCGAATCGCGAAAAGTTAGAAGCTCGAATCTCGAATTGAATTTTTCACCGCGGGAAGATACCGCGCGCGCGCGCGCGCGCGTCTTCATTCTCTCCCGCGAGACGGCGAACAATCGCTATCTTTCGGCAACGCCTGACACGTGGACATTGCTTCGAGCGGATTGCTCTTTGCGTTATACGTGGCTTGTAATAACTGCGCAACGATGATTAGTAGTCGTAAGAAAGAGAGAAAAAGAAAGAAAGACGAGCGACTGTCTCAACGGAACTATTTTCATCTTACGTACTCTGTCGTACTCAGCCGTTTCGTGCTGTCGCGTTTAGCATAGGCGAATTTATAAGCGGACGGATGCGCTGTAGGCATTCGCTCTATCTAACTAACATGGTCCTAACGACATACAAAGCAGAAAGTAGTGTGTAAAGTCGGTGTTGATAACGTGTGTTACGCTGTAGAGTGTTGACCTGTGCGCGTCTCGAGCGCGCCAGAGAGCCACGTTAGACTTACTAGCCTCATTATTATATCGTAGACGTGCTAAAAAGCGGGAATATCTCGCGCAGTTCTAGTCGAATCGGTATCTAGTATAATCGGGCTTACGCGCGATTAAGTTTCCGAAATCCGGCGCATCGCAGCGAAGCATGCTTCCCTTTCCCCTTGCTATTTTATCAGCGCTACGAGTCGAGCGGGGCAGAAGGCGCAAAATGTAGAAGGCGGCAAACGCGTTATCCCACACGTGTAGAATCTTGCGCGACGCAGGTCGGCTTTTTTTTACCGGATGCCAAACCTTCGATGTCGGCCTTAGAGATCGATCTTCGACACGGACCGTACGATCGCAGACCGTACGAGATAGCCTAGGCTCAACAGCAGCAGCCAATTCTTGGTCGAGCACTCGCATTCGCATTCGCTCATCGGTCACGGGAATGAAGAGGTGACGGGTCTGCATAAAAAATCTGCCGAGCAAAGTGAGAACTTGTCGTAGTTTGCGCGATGAGAACATCCGCGCACTCGTCGAAACGCAGGATGCTTCGAAAAGGACGAGAGCTGCCGGGCTATATCTTGCTTGCACTCTTTTCATCGATATAAACAAGAAAACGTTCTCACACAGCACAGAAATTGCTGCAACGCTGCCGCAACGTAGTTGCAACATTGCTGCAACGTTGTCGCAACATCTCTGCAATATTGCACAACATTGTCGCAACGTTGCGGCAACGTTCTTTTTTTTTTCAACTTTGTGTGCTGTATAAGTGCTGGTAAACGTAGTACCGGAATAACCGCTTGGTTATTAACGACTTAATGTCGAGTCAAGATTGCAAGAATTTTTTATTTCGATGTTGACAATGGCGATATACACGGGATAATATTTATCGAAATTATTGAACCCGCAGACTCGACTCTCTACACGCTGTGCTTATCGGGACTTGTCTCGATGAGAAAAATATAACACGTACATACGGTTGATCTCCACCCTTTCTGAAACATCCTGCGTATCTTGATATCTGTCTGCGACGGCACGCCGTCGTGCGTCACGTATCGCAATCGCATGCACTCTGACACGTGTCGTGACGAGCACAGACGCGTGCTGCGCGGAAAAGCGAGAAGAATGGCGTTTGTTCCGCGCTCCTACGTCGATTTCTTGCCGGGGCACGGCCGTTCGAAGCGCGTCGGGGCTTTTTGCAGTCGCTGCGCGCGCGGGACCCTCGCAGCCAATCGGCGGACGGGGGGGGGGGGGCGGTATACATTGTGGCGCTCGCGCAAGCCGCCTTGACTTGACACCTCTCGCCTCGGGAACGGCGGCGGCGCGCAACATTGTCGGCGGCCTCTCGGTCCCCGTCAAACGAATATGCGCTGCTCGTCGATTTCTTCGCGTAGGAACGTCGCAGCGACACGAGACAAATTGCATCGGAAAGCCGAGACGCTCGCGCCCCCGACGACGAGGAGAGAGCTGTTGTCTGGTCTCTCGTCGATGAATTTCGCGCGCGGCACGGTGGAACGTCGGTCTCGAGTTTCCCTCGAGACAAGGACAAAGAGTCTGAATAAGCAAGCTGCCGATTAAAAAAGCGTCCTTACGCGGTTTTGATACACATGTACGTATATTGTATAAATATAGTCGAATAGATCGGCCAAACGTTGGCTCTGTTGCACGGTATCCGATATTCTGTGTGTGTGTGTGTGTGTGTGTGGAAAAATTACACCAGCGTGTAACTTGTAACCCAATCTTGTAATTCGCAAACCCCCTACACGTATGTAATAATATAAACGGCACGTATTTGACGCCCATAACACGATCCGTTGTGACTGCATTTTTCTATCGGTTTTGTAACGGTTTTCTATCGGTAAAATACTTTGAAACACACGCGCGCAAAAATAAAAAAAAAAACACAAAGGGACCGATACTCGCGCCACGGGGCAGAGCGCGATATCGATCGCGCCAGGCAATCGCGCTATCGTTTTTCCTTTCCCCCGTTTTTCCTTCTTTTCGCCGGAAGACGCACAGCCGATGTATCCCGATATGCGTGTGTTTCGCGGTTCAGCGAAAATACCGCGAGGCCAATGAAATCGACGACACGCGAGGGTTGCATGATTGCTCCCGAAATAAAATTCACGAGCGAGCGCTCGGTCGTCTCGGCGCGATTTTTTTCGCTCGCGCGCGACGGACGTGCACGCGAGAGGTTGCAAAAAGTCGGCGGATAAAAATCGGAAATCCTGAAGCGAGCGAAAGGAATACGTGCGAGCGTAAATTTAGCCCGAGGGAGACGCATCAGCATTTAATGCCCGCGTAAAACCTCCGTATATATGCTTGCGTGCGTGTGTATGTGTGTGTGTGTGTGTCCGTTCAATCGACCGTACCTCGGCTTTCTCGTGAGAGATATTACCACTTAGAAAAGAGAGATATGTGTCGTACTATCAAATTCACTTGTTTCCACATACAGCACGTGCACGTGTATGATCGTACAGTTGAAGTTATCACCTGCGTCCCCCTCGTCCCACAAGACCCTCGACCCACTGTTATTACCTCTCAGGGCCAATCTCAACATCTTCGATCGACTTAATCGGCCGATTAATCCATCGGAATTGACCAGTCGTATATATTTGCCGTTAAGCAGACTCGCGACCAGGATAGAGAGACCAGTCACGGCTGACGCTTGATCGGCCGGTCGAGTTAATCGAACGACGATGAAATTGGCCCTTGGCCTCTTCAGGGCTGCGCGTCAGTTAGTCTTTACTACGCGGACCACATGTGTGTATGTATATATATATATATATATATATATATATAACTCCGAGTATCCCTATGCTGTACCAGCCGACGTGATTTCAATCGCGCGGATATATTTAGCGCAGCGTATTAAACGACGGCTCACTTTTCACGTCGAGTTGTCCAGCGAGGCGTCATTCTCGCGGTCTCGACGGGTCCGCTGAAGATCAACAACGCGCATGCATCGATTGTCACTCGATAGCCGAGTCGCGTGCGCGCATTGACCGATTGCATCACGTAAAAATGTGTCGACTGATATATACCCCCTGTCTTCGTTGCCGCGTCGACTCCTTCGCTCCTTCAACGCGATCACTGTGTGTGGTTATGTGTAAATAGCGGTTAGATGTAAATAGTAGATGTACATTCGTTGGATCGACTCGACCGTGCGGGATCCGGCCGGCCGATCGCGCAGATCGAACTCCTTGGCGCGATCAAGTCGACGCCAACGGTCTCGTCAACGCGTTGACGCGCTCGGACGGAGATGAGATCCGTCGAAGGGGCTGCCGGAGCGCGAAAGAGAGGAGAGGATGGCGAAACTTTCGACGGACTTTCGTCCGAACGTGAGGCGGAGTCTTTTTCTTTCTTTCTCTCTCTCTCTCTCTCTCTCTCTCTCTCTCTCTCACTCTCTCTCTCTCTCACTCTCACTCTCTCTCTCTCTCTCTCTCTCCCTCCCTCTCTCACGCGCGATCGTTTCTTCCACGCACGGTCATTTCGATCTATTTTAGCGTAGCGTAGCGAGATACATTAGGAGAAAAGTGTTATCGTATTTGAATAGCAACAAAGATAGCGCACATCTTTCTCAGATATAAGACATAAGCAAAATATGTTTGTCTCCTCGGAGTGAGAGATCTCTTCGTGTCTCCTGAGCTCTATTTACGTGCGCGCGCGCGAGATATCCTACCATTAACCGTCGTAGCGAAGAGAGCCACCGGCTCCATTTCGCCCCCCGACGCGACGTATCGCGCGGCAAGTTAGTAAACAGGGTAAGCAGGGCAAAGGAAAGAGAGGAAATGAAAAAGCCATTACAACACGACGATACACACTCGAGTCGTAATCACGAAAGTACGCGCATATGTAGCGGTGACGCAAAAACGTCGAGCAAAAACACTTGTAGAAATTACGAAGTTAGTCCAGTATCGACCGACACGACGTGATTTCTAATCACTTCCCGCGACGCTGCGACCGTCTGTCTAACATGTGCATAGATATGTACTCGTATTAAAGAGAGAAAAAAGAAAAAGGAAAAAAAAAAGAAATAGCCTCGTCGTATCGTAAGATCGCATCTCGGCAGTTACGTAGCTCGGATTATCACGGAAGAGAGAGAGAGAGAGAGAGAGAGAGAGAGAGAGAGAGAGAGAGAGAGAGAGAGAGAGAGAAAGAGAGGGAGAAAGGGAGAGGGTCTCTCGAAAGCAGATCCGTGTTATTGTGTACATTTAATTTTAGATAAAAGTCCACGACGCACGGATGCGAGCCGACGATACTGTCAATTTAACAATAAGAAGCTCGCCGTCGCTCAGCGCCGATCTCGATCGCCGCGGAGCGCAACGACGGCGTACGAACCGAGCTACATCGCTATCACTTCATACCTGTATGTTGTGTATACTATGGATGTTAGAGGACCAAGAAATACAATGTAACCCGGTGTAAATAACCCGTGACTGGTCCTATCTCTCATTCCTCTGCTCGCAGCTGGCTGAAACGCGCGTGGAAGCGGAGTGATCGCGGAAGCGAGCGACGGCCGCGCGAGGAATGCTCGATGAACGAGCAGCTCTGGAAATCTCGAGGAAGATTCAACGTTGCGTCTCCGGCGCGACGCGATCCCCAGGAGTCGCCCTGCAACGTCCGATTTTTCGAACGCACGCGCTCGTGTAGGAACAGCAACGAACTGCGCACGCATATTTCTTTTTCTTTTCTTTAGGATTTATTAAGTTACACCTGTCACAAGTTACAATCATAATTCTTCCCCTTTCTTTTTTCCTTCATTTTTAACGCGATTTTCACGCGCGAGTTAAGAGCTCTGGTCTGCCTTGTTTCGGCAATCGCCACTCGTCTCCTTCCTCTCCCTCGACGCAACTTTTGTCCCATGTAATTGTGCATCATGTGGAACTCACTGAGAGTCGCGACGAAATACAATCGTCTCTTTAGCGAAGCAATCGCGTCACCGATGAACGCGGCGCCTCCGTATCGTGCAAATCGTACAAGTCGATAATGAGATAAGCTCGTAAACTCGTCGCTCGCGAATCGCGACGAAAGAGACTCGCTGACGCACGCATAAGCGCGGGGATGGCGGTCGCGAGAGATGGTCCGCGTGTCGACAGGAATCCGCGGCGTTCCGGATGTGCGATTTTGGCGCAGGTCGCGCAGCGGCCGCGGCCGCCTCTTTTCGGCGGTACACGCAGAGTTCAGAGGCGAACATCTCGCAGAATCTGCAATCGTCGTCGTCGTCGTCGTCCACTCACGGTCCGGTGGGCGCTCACTGGGTGACCCACGTCAGTAAAACAGAAGAAAGTTGCGACAGAGAGACCCGGCGAGAGATCGTGCCGCTCGAATTAACTCGCATCGCGCAATCAATAGCAAACAAATCGCAGCGCGGAGCCCGGCAGAGGAGCGCGCGAGCGGTTATCGCGTGCACTTTTGACCTCGCGGCTACAGCGAGGCGGGGTTCATTGTGCCGCGGCCGTTGCCGAAAAGCGCTCTGAACCGCGAACGAACGCCTTTTCCTCGTATTATCTAACGCTCTTATTCGCCGCGCGTTCCGAAAGCTGCTTTTTAGCGCGTCCTTGGCGTCACGAGAGGAAGGCCGAGGGAGAGGCAGGGAGAGGGGGTCGCCTCTTCTCTCCTCCGCACGCACCTGCCACCGCGATACCTGCGTTGCCTGCGTCGTCGTTCGTCATCTCGTCGTTCATTTGTGACGACCGCAAGTCAAACCGACCGCAGCCGAGAGAGAGAGAGAGAGAGAGAGAGAGAGAGAGAGCGCGCGTCAGTAACGCGATAAAGAAAGATAATCGCGAGAGAAGGATAATCTGCGCGAGCCGGCCACCGGGTTATCATTTCTCACTATTAACGAGGTCGCGCCGCAAGATTCCGTTGATTCGTCGCGTCGCCTGTCTGCCTGTCCGCTTGTTATTCGTCGTCATGGAGAGAAATCACGTGTACTTTCACATCTCACGGAGTGTTTGTTGTCGCGGAACGTGTCGGGAAGAACTCGTCGATGAGCGCGCACGCGCGCGATTAGCAGTGGCGAGATAAGTCCGATAAGTGAATCGCGTTCGCTTCCACCGGCTGTTTTCGATTTCGATCGGCGGAACGGAGGGACGATTCTGCCGGTTCCGCGACGCGCTCGCGATCGCGGCGCAGAGTACCGTAGCCGCGCTTGAATACTGATGAGAGATCCGTCGCGTGGAACGATCGATAACGGTCGTTCGGTAACGTAAACGAGCGAACGAACGCTGAGCCGCTCTGTTCAGCAGCCGCCGCACAGTGGTCGAAAAGGCTCTCGCGGTGGACAAATTAGTTTGGAGCGCGTAATTGTTAACCGATTCCAATAATTTTTCTTTTAATTTGCTCGTTATGAATCGCTCTACAACTTTGTCGATTCACTTTTTTAATGTAGAGCTTCAAATCAAAATGGCGGACTGAAAATGGTTATCAAAATATAGATATATATATATATATATATATATAAGATATTAGATATTCTTGCATCGGAAAAAAATATATATGTGTTTTAGGAGTTCCTAATTACATATCTGACGTCAAAATTTTAATTTCTTGCCACTTGAGAGGATCTGAAACGATCCGAAATGTTTTACGACTTTCTTATATCTTCATATTATCAGTGTATTGGGTGAGTGCAAAAGTTCGTGCGGAGTTTGTGAGTAAAAGTCACACAGTGATTAGGCAAACAAAAATCTTTATTCAATCAATGATATATTCTCCATCGTTTTCTATAATCTTTTCCCAACGTTCTGGCAGCATACGGATGCCTCGATCATAAAAACTGCGCGGTTTAGATTCGAAGAACGAAGAGACGCCGTTTTTTAAGGCCTCCAAAGAGTCAAAGTTTTTTCCATTTAAATAATTTTGCAACGACCGGAACAAGTGATAGTCAGATGGTGCGATATCAGGAGAATACGGTGGATGCGTTAAGACATCCCATTTCAGGCAATACTTAGATAACGTCTTTGCTCACACATTAGTACATATTGCTCGCAAAAATATGTAAATTTCAAAACTTAGCTTGAAATTTATACTATATAAACTAATATATGAAATATATACTAATATGTGAGCAAAAACGTGATCTGAACGTGCACCGATAGTGATCAAGATATCAGAAAATCCTAAAACATTTCAAATCCTCTGTGAAGTGGCAAGAAATTAAAATGCGCGTATGTGCGTGCATCTTAAAATCTTTATTCCGTGCCTCCTTATTTATGCCTGTTCTCTAAAAGTGAATCAGTGAAACTCACTGTCAATCAGCGATTATGCACTGATTGTCAGTGCTGTAGTAAATATACCACTGAATTTATCTGAAAAATCGGATAATTTCTTATAGTTTCTATATTTTGATAACCATTTTGAGTCCGCCATTTGGACTTGAAGCTCTACTTGAAAAAAGTGAATCGACAAAGTTGTAGAGCAATTCATAACGAGCAAATTAAAAGAAAAATTATTAGAATCGGTTAACAATTACGCGCTCCAGACTAATTTGTCCACCGAGAGAGCTTTTTTGACCAGTGTGCGCCGGCCGGGTGATAATAAGCGGCGAGCAAACCCCGATATGTATGATTCCGAGACTTTTTCAGCGGGCGAACAAATAGAGAAGATCGGTCACATCGGCTTTGGATTCCCTGCGTAAGTACGCTCAATCCTTCCGTTGCAAACTCGCTCGGGACTGAAAGTTCCCCATCGCTGCGGGAGACCGCCTGTGTCTCATCGTTGCCTTCTCGCGGCTAATTTGTTCGGCGACAAAAGTTTATATCATCGACGATACATTAATCGGCTCTTATTCTCTACAACGTACGTACAACGTATCATTTATAAATATGACATTATAAATATATTTTTTTCGACGTCTCTGAACGAGCCTCTCGCGAGAGCCTCGCAGCGGAAGGATTAGTCGACATTTCCGGGCCGAGCGTGCGATAACAACGATAACGACGCCGAGAGCGCGCAGCGGAGCGGATCAGAATCCCGATACCTTGACGCCGCCGGGGACGCGGAAGATCCTCTCCGCCGGCGGCAGCTCGCCGATGATGTAGCGTTCCAAGGTTGTCCTGGCGACGGCGGAGTGGCCGGTGCCGATGAAGGCGAAGGTGGCGTCGCGTCCGGCGTACTCCAGCAGGACGTCCTGGCCGCCCGGGTGACTCTTGAAGAAGTCCGTGCAGTCGTACACGTAGTCGTAGATCACCAGCCAGCAGTTGTCGACCGTGTCGTGCCAGGCGACCTCGTCCAGGTCGATGGTGCGTAGTCCGTCGCGCGACTTCTCCCTGCCCGACTTGAACCTGCGTATTCGCTCCCGCGCCTCGCCGTCCGCCTTGCCGCCGCTGTTGTTCTCCAGGACATCGTCACGCTGCAGGAAGCTCTCCTTGGGCGGCTTCACGTCGCCCAGCTCGAGGGAGCGGAAGGCCGGGCTCAGGAGGTCCATGTTGCTGCGCGTCCGCGAGTCGCTCGTCCTGCAACATGGCAGCGCGATATCTCGGTAAATTCCGCTGCAGTTTCGGCCTGACGAATCACGCGGATACGTCTCGTTCTTTCGTCCTCGCTCGCGGCTCGCTCGGAGAACGAGCCGCGCGAGGACGAGTGTCGTGTAAGAATCCCGGAGTTTTTCGAGTTTTCCATTCGATCCTTCCCGCGAAACGTTTCCGCGAGTCCTCCTGATTTTTTACTCCCCCCTTCCCCTCCCTCCCCTGTTCCCTGCGATCGATGGATCGCTCACTGCGTGCGCATCGTGCTTGGGAAACGCGGAAACAATCTCGGCTCGAGACGTCACAGCGCGTCGCCGCTGAACTCGTTTTATCGTAAACTATACATGTAGGTCGTTTTACCGTAAACTGCACAGCCCGTCGCCTTTGTACGCCGAGATACGACACGTGACTCGTGTACGATCATGATGACGAACTTCCCGATCTCGCGCGCGGAGCGATATCTTTTCTCTTTCGCGATGGCCGCGAGCTGATAAACAAGAGGGAAATTTACAAACAATGATATCGCACGGCGCTTGTGTAAACGGCGATATTAAAAATTCCCGATTTTTATCCGTCACTGCGTTGTTCTCCGCTCTTTCTCTCTCTCTCTCCCTCCCTCTCTCTCTCTCTCTCTCCCTCCCTCTCTCTCTCTCTCTCTCTCTCTCTCTCTCTCTCTCGACCTATCCCAGATATCTCTAAACTGACTTCTTCGTGACTATTTTTCGTACATATTTCCGTCATTGCGGCGCTTTTTCAGGACTGTGACCGTATCGTCGCCGTCGACACATGTCACATTTCGTAAATATTCAAACGCACGTGCGTGTGTAGCCAGTCGCGCGCGGCCGGCGTATCTTCGTGTTACAAAGCGTCGGCGACGCCGTCCTTCGCCACTGCTGCTCGCGTTTCACGAAACGCTCTACGTACGCTTCGATCCCCGGTCACGCTTGCACGCTCAACAGTGCATTAAATGATTAACGCTTGCATTTCAATCGACGCGATAAAGCAATATTTGCAGTAGCGGAAAATTGCGAGCAAATTGCACCTGATGACCGTTGATTGCGCCGATTCGTCAAATTCCGTAGAATTCAACAGCCGACTGACCAAAGATCGGACAGAGGAGCAGAGAGAGAGAGAGAGAGAGAGAGAGAGAGAGAGAGAGAGAGAGAGAGAGAGAGAGAGAGAGAGAGAGAGAGAAATATAAACGAGCGCATGCTCGCTCGACCACGGAAAGTACTAGCTCGATCGCGGAAGTAACGCGGCCCGGAAGTGTATGCTAATCGTTTCACGGCCGGTTTACTGAAATCGCGCCGGTACTCTACACGGTATATCCGACACGGTATTAAAGCCACGTACAACGGAGTGCGCTTCTGTCCACGTTGTCTGTCAAGGGACATCGTACGCCGTACTGAGCAGCATGCCTACAGACTCGGCCGAGCTCGACAGGAATCAATTCCCTCGCGAAAGAAAAGTAATTCTATTACCGGTTGAAACCCGAGGCGTGCACGCACCAGGTCTCTCCCCGTGGTCACGCACCTCAGTCACTGTGTCGTGGCAGAGGAGCGCGTCGCTCGCAGTCTCACGCGCACTCGTAGCGCGCGCTGAAGGGGCGAAAGAAGCACGGATGACAAAGCAGGAAAGAAACGGGAACGAAAAAGGTAACGAAAAAGGTAACGACGAGGAGAGGGTGAGAAAGAGAGAGAGAGAGAGAGAGAGAGAGAGAGAGAGAGAGAGAGAGAGAGAGAGAGAGAGAGAGAGAGAGAGAGAGAGGCAGGGGGAGAGGGAGAAGGGAAAAGCACAATACAGCGAGTCAACAGAATTTCGCGAGCGCGGAAGCGAAGGTTGTCGGCTAAATGAACGCCGCACTCGGCAATTGCGAATCTTACCGGCGCATTACAGCGATCCGCCAAGTCGTGATGATCCTGCCGCTCTGTGGAAATGCCGAGCGGATGTTTTCGTCGTACCCCGCACTCGGCACAATTCGCGAGAGCAAAGAAAAAGAGACGCTTCACAGCACCGCGCGCGACGTCTCTGTGCAAAATGTCGCTGTCGCATGCGAATTTACACGCTAATCAGCGCTTCTCTCTCTCTCTCTCTCTCTCTCTCTCTCTCTCTCTCTCTCTCTCCCTCTCTCTCTCTCTCTCTCGCTCTCTCTCGCTCTCTCTCTCTCTCTCTCTCTCTCTCTCTCTCTCTCTCTGTTTCTCTCTTTCTGTTCACAGAAAAGCACGCGTTGTTATTATCTCGCGACGTATTCAACGACAAGACCACTGGCCGCGCGTATCTATACGATAAGTTCGGTAATTCGAACACTGAGGGAACTGCGGAAGAAGCTATGCGTCGAACGAGAGCGTCCTTCCGAGACAACCGCAATCAGACAATGATAACGATAGAGTAACATAAATGAGATGCCTCCGGTCGGCATTCAGCGTTGCGAAGAATATTCACGAGCGATATTGACGTCACGTTCGGTCGCAATCATCATTATTACATTATGTGTTGCTGATAACGGCATTTTCTCGAACTGTTCGAGAGGTAGAAATTGAAGATTTACGATCGGAGGATTTGATGAGTTATTCTTTTTTTTTTACGACCAGTTCTTCTTCTCCACACTTTCCGTATTTAATTTAATTGATCTTATATGATAAGATAATTTCTTTTCGTTCATAATTAAATTCGTTCAGAAATTTATCTGGACTGCCATTCTTAGTCGTCCTATGGAAAAATTAAAAGTTCGTCTTGCTCGTCCGGAATTAATCATAAAGTCGTGCCATGTAAGAGTAAAAAATTTGTTTACTTCACTTTTGACTTTTACATGATGTTACAAGTATATTAAAAGTACGAAAATGTGCGCATACTAAAGTACGTTACAAACGCAAAAATTAAAAGGATATTTCTCTGAATCAGCGGAAATAAGCAAAATTCACTGACCTGTAATCTTCGCAAAAATGGCTGTGAAAGCATTTAACAGTTCGCAGTTCTTGGATTTCGGGTTTTACATTATTGAGCATAAAAATAATCTATTATTTATAATGTTGTATAAATATAAATCAAAATCCACCAGCGGTTGAAATATTTAATAAAATTCATCGAATAATGCCATATGGGGCAAAAAAATTTTACAAATGACGTTTATATACCTTGAAAATATGAACTTTTCCATTTCATTTACATAGCCGCAAATTGCAGTACAGTTTTTCTCCTGCGGAGATATTTAACGTTGAAACAAAAACTGTTATTTTAGCTTCGTTTGGAATTAACGGGAAAAAAGAGAAAAAATCACCTCGCAATATGCATTAACAAATGAAAGGAAAGCATTAGCCCTCCCCTCTCTAGCGCATTTTCTCTTTAAAATCTACTTGATATATTTTTCACGTAAATTTTCACGTAAGTTTTCGATGTAAAAACACAATTGAAATATGACGTTTTAATCAATCGTTCGCTTAACTTTGTACACATTAACGAGGAACAATAGCAAAATATTACGAATATAATATATCTGAAAGGTAAATAACTTTAAGCTATGAAAAGTTTTTAGAATCATTATAAGTATAAAATGTTTTAATCATACACATATACTTATTTAATATACTTATATTATACTTATAATATACTTATTTTTTACATATAATACAGATTATAATTGAGATATAATAAAATCATTTTGTTGATGTAACGATATTTTAACTAGCAATATTTTTATCTCAGGAGAACATAAATTCTCTTAATAAATGTCAAATATGAATTTTTATTACTGCGCGCAAGATACGTTGAAGAAAAAACACAATTATGTGCCATAGAATAGATTGCATTTTATGTGTTTTTTTATGTCGGGAGAAACAAAATGTCCAACATATCATTTTGTGATACTGTTTATATACTGTTTAAAATTATCGGCAATACAAAGTACATCTTTGAGTTGTATTACGATCGCGAATTTTCATCAAGGATGGTGGCGGCACGTAGCGGAGAGTTTAAAACTAACTAAATTCACATCGCATCGATCGAGTCGAGACTCAAATCATATTTAGTCGAGATTCGAATCAGTTAAACTGAACAAGTTTCTCACGACACTGTTAGATGGCAATATGTAGTCCATTAAATATTTTTTATTTACTTCTTCACTTTAATATACGTATTTCTCTCTTTGTAACATTTAAATATGTTTATAGGAGTATATAAAAATGGAAAACAATTACAATGTCTTTTTGTTCATGTGACATGATTGATAAACAAATCTCTTTTTCGGTTTCAATCAATTGATCACACGATGCAAAACCGAAGGGCCATAACGAATAATTTTTGTATCTTGGAAATATAAATTTATGAGAATCCAAGTATCAAATTTTAATTTACAGGTGGCAGTTTATCGCAATAGAACAGAAAGATTGATCGCCGAGATGAATAAACTGAAATATCGTTGCGTTAGTATCGATAATTACTGCAATAGAACAAAATGACAAATGTACTGCCTCGTAAAATACTAACTCGTGTATTCCTCTACACAATATCTTTAATGCTCTTGGATATTTTTCATCTTGTTTTTCATCTTCCGTATCATGTGACATTTAATGTAATTAATTACTTTGCGACGAAACTCGGATCTTCATGTATACCAAGAGACTCAGTTAGAAATATCTAAACTTTCTCACTTTTTCATCTATTTTTATTTCAGAAAAATTTCTTGCACATGACGGGCACAAACTAGCTTCCGCCGCAGTACATAATTTCATATTCCTGCGGAAACAACAGACCTCCTACGACCAAAAGATGTTTGTTTCGATGCTTTTCGATATATAAATGCGAAGTCCCGCTGAATATCGTCGTCACTGAGACAGAAACTCGGTGTCTCCAAGTGCGGCAGCAAGCATGACAACTAATCCGTGCGCAATGCACACGGAAACGAGAAATAAGTGAGCGGCGGAACGAGGGAATGAAGCAGCAATAAATCAAGACACAAGATTTGATTCTTATTCATAAACAAAATCAGACGAAAATTGGACGTGAACCGTGTCGTGCGTTAACTAGTCGTTGGTACAGTCGAAGATGCATCGCGACTCGTGTGTTACCCTCCTCGGCAGAAGTTGCCGATGACCAAGCACGACGCGCAGCTTGTCCACGAAGGCTGAACAAGTCGAAAGATCTCGCTCGAGTCGCGATAAGAGCTGCCAAATGCATCGTATATCATTGCACGGTACGGCACGATTGCCGAAACAGAAGACGCGGCCGACGTCGCATGCTGACGCGCTCCTCCGGTACGAGATCCGAGATCAGCAACAGGCAACTCCAACAACCACCCTGCGCTGCGGAAATGATGCAGAGCCCCAACCCCAAAGAAGCCCCGAACGAAGTCGGAGAAGCGCGGTCGATGGTAGAAGCGAGCTAACGGCAGTCGATCGAGAGCGGCTCTTCCGCTCTTCTGCAGCGGATCGTCGCGGGTATTTCACCGACGCTGAGCGCCGCGACGCCGCCTCCGTCAGCGTCTCCTCCTCCTGTTCCACCACCACCACCACCACCACCACCGGCCGCCGCCGCCGCCGCCGTCGGCGCTGCCGCCGCCGCCGCAGCCGCAGCCGCCGTCGCCGTCGTCGTCGTCGCGACGGCGCGGCCAGCGTCGGCGGCGGCGCACCACGAGACTGATAGTCGCACTCATGCCACCACCCTGACGCACGTTCCGTGAGCGCGGTGCGTGTGCCGACGTCGCAGGGTAAGATCTCTCGCGTATCCGCGGCGACGAGGGAGCTGGAGCGCGCGAGCGAGCACGGCGACGACGCTCGGCCGCGATCACCACGAGCACGAGAACAACGAGTCCCCGACGAGCACGCAATACACCCCGGGGGAGGCAGTCGGGGGAGGAAGGTGGAACGTCGCACGGGAAGAGACCGGCCGGTCTCGTCGGTCGCTCGATGCCGAGGTGTCGTCGTCGGGACGTCGCACGGCGACACGGTACGGCCGTCGTCTAAGCCTTTCCCCCCCGGTCGACGACGTCGGCGACGAGCGCGCGAGCCGCGTTCATCGCGCACGTGTCGATAAAAATCCGTCGACGATCGCGAGAGCGCGAGAGCGTGTGCAGGTGCAGCACGAGCGGGGGAGGGGGGAGGGACACGGCGAGGGGTGCGTGGATTCGGAGGGCAACACGGCGGAAACTATCCCCGTCGGGAACGGAAGAAGCAGCGTCGTCTCCGGATGTCTCCGCGAGGCTGGGCGAATCGGCCCGACTGATCACGAGCGCGTTCGATGATCGAACGAACGAACGAACGAACGAACGAACGAGCGACGCGCCGGGAGTTCGCCCTCGCCCTCGCCCTCGCCCTCGTCCTCGCCATCGTCGTCGTCGTCGTCGTCGTGGTCGTCGCGCTGATCGTCGTGAGGACGAGCAGGAGCAACAAGAGCGCGCGAGTATGTGCACGTGCGTGTGTGCGTGTCGCTGTCCTCGTGACACACATCCATCGGGAACGGGGATAGCCGTGCGCGCTCGCGTGCACCGTTGGTCGTTATCGTTATCGCGTCGCGCGAGGCTACTCTCCACCGCCGGCACGCGACAACCCTCTCTCCCTCCCCTTCGGGCCCGCCGAAAGCGAGGCTCTCGTTCGTCGTCGTGGGCGAGCGACAGCGCGGTTGTGCTGCACAAGGTACGACCTTTCGGCCTCTCGTCGTCGGCAGGACGAGGCCCGACGAGCGCGTGTCGCGTCGCGTCGCGTCGCGTCGGAGGACGACGCGCGCTCATTACGCGGCTCCGCACGTGTGCCCGGAAGGGACCGCCAAGTAAAAAGGGATGAGGGCGCGCGGCGGCGACGACGGCCGCCGGCGCTGCACGTCGCACGTGTTACTCTCCAAGCCGCGAGGCGGATCGATCGGCCGGAAGTGCGCTCTCGTGTCCGAGGCTGCTGTGCGATCGTACATACGTGCGCCTGGCTCGTCGCCTACGGATTCTCGCGAACCTGAGAGGTCCGCTCCGGCCGGCCGCGGGATCTTGCGCGCGCGCGCGCACACACACACCACACCACACACACACACACACACACACACATACACACGAGAGACTGCCGGTCGGTGTCTCCGCGATGCTCGCGGGATCTCGCCGGTGGGATCGTTCGGCGCCTCCGAGTGTGCTCGTGGCGACGGAGGTGAATCAATCGGCCGTGCTGGGATCCATATCGTGGGAGTGCGCGTGGCGAGGCGCGTGGCGAGTCGACCGCACACGGTGAATCGCTGAACGAGAGCCCGACTCTCGCGAGAACGGCCGCCGCTCCGGCGAGGAACGTTCGATCCGGAT